ATGCAATCCGCCATCTTGGATGACAAATCCTCCCCCACGTGCATACCCTAGAGACGAAATCGCTGCGCAAGCAAGATGCGCAGAACGGCTCAACCATGTCGGGTTTTGGCAGGCATCTCACCGACTTTCTGAATTACGTGAACTACGAGATGCCTGCGGAGGAGGCTAATACGATACAAGCTTCGAATTGTTTTGACGGTTTTCAGTCGTATTTCCGGTTGGGATTAATTCACTTCGAGCTCACAGTCGGGCAAGAAATGGAAATATATTGATAAAAGATACATATTTGAAGACACAGGCTTGCAAATAACACTCTAAGTAGTGTTTTTAATGGGTATTCGAACAATACTATTACAAAGACGATATGTTCGAAGGGGCCGAAGTTATTTTCGGCGAAAGGTATGGCTAAGTTTATATTTTTGTTCAGACAATTGCGTAATTTGATACAATATGATCGTGTTTGACTTCAAAGGCCCATAAATCGCTACAATATTCATAATGGCTAAAGCTATAGTGACGAATTAGTTGAATCTTTTATTTCTGAATCGAATGGTGGTATTTCTGTCTTCATAGCATGCACCGAACCGAAGATATGAACATCAAATCATTCATCCGCTAGCGGATGACTGATTTGGGATTTGCCGTCAAAGAGATAACTTATCATAATTATTAATTCACTAAAATATTTGAGTTGTTCCCTTTGCTATCAGGGGTATTTATAGAAAACCAGTCATCGGAAAAACATACTCTGACATCATGAAATGGACAACTATTTGGCAATTCCCATTACTTGCTGGTCATTGCCACAGTACCAGTATAAATACATGTAATAATGGTAACATACATGCTGATAATTTTGGAGACACAGGTAGAAATTATTTTGGTAGCATTGACCAGTTATGCATGGACATTTTAAGAATTACCAATTATCTTAACAATGTTTTGATTATTATTATTATTATATTATTATTATTATTGGTTTTTATTAATCATTTGATAAAAATACATATCAAATTTACATATTTAAAAAAGTTGTAACACAGAGGCTACTTAATACATCAATATTATTAAAACTATTCTATTCATTATCAACATGCAAATTATACTTAAAAATCAGTCTATTAAAAAGCTATTCTTGAAGCGTTCTGTGTTAGTCTACATTTTGGCCACAGTGAGCTTTTGTTACGCAGACGCCTGGATGAGTCTTTGACTATAGGTAGCATATGTTTAAGCGGATGATTATCGTTATTTTTTATCTTTCTCCATATGTTACGACCACTTCTCTCTAATAGTTTGTATCTATCGTAATGTTTGCTAGAATAATTTCGTTTAAAACATCTACTTAAGAAGCACTGCACTGTATAGAAATCTGGTGTAGACGAGCCATAGACAGATAGACCATACGATATCTTTGAGATTACAAGAGAGTTGAAAAACAAATTCAACTCCAGTTGACAAAGTCCTTCCTTTCGTAACGATCGTATCAAGTATAAACTTTTATTTGCACTATATAACATATTCTTTACATGTTCTGTAAATTTGCAGTTAGGCCGGAATGTTACTCCCAGTAGTTTCAATTTCGGGCATTGTTCTATGTTCATAATGCCAGGTGGTATATATTGCTCTGCTCTGCCCGATTTGTTTAAAACTAATTCCTTGCACTTGGATGTATTACATGACAATTCATTTTTTTCTGTCCAGTTCATAAACTGAGTTAAGTAAGTTAATCAGTCATCCTGGGAGTTTTTTAGTACGACTACTTGTAACGTGGCATCATCTGCATATTTATCTAATGCAGTTTTGTTTTCTTCTTCTATGGTAAGGTCGTTTACAAATAAATTGAAGAGATGTGGACCGCTAACGCTACCTTGTGTTGTTCCTTTATTAACCATTTTCCATTCACATACGATGCTATTATGCATGATCCTTTGCTTTCTATCTTTTAAAAAGTCCAAATACCAATTTACTAGGTATGGATTCAAACCAGTGGCCTTAAGCTTTTCGCCTAGTATGTTATGTCTGACACTGTCAAAAGCTTTACTGAAGTCCATCGCAAACAATCGTACTGTTTTATTCCGACTGTTATCCAATGCTTTCAGATTAAAATGTTGCACTTTGAGCAAAGCGTCGACACAGCTGCCTCCTTTTCGATAAGCGAACTGGTTGTTATTCAGTCCACGCTCAAATGTATCTTTGGAAAAGTGTTCGTACACTATCCTTTCAAACGCTCTGGCTATTACGGGTGTGATATTTATCCCTCTGAAATCTTTCTTTATCTTAGCAATGTCGACCTTTGGAATTGGATTTATATTAGCTATTTTCCATAATCTAGGCCACATGGATGTGGCCAACGACATATTCCAAACTTTCATTACAACTGGAGATAGAATGTTGGCAAAATCTTTCCATATCCAGTAAGGAATTTTGTCAGGCCCTGTCGCCGTTCGTTTTATCGATCCTAGAGCATTATATACTTGATCGTAGTCTAGCTGAGGTGTATCAAATGCAGTACTAATGTCCATTTTCAAAGGTTTCTCGTACTCAGGGTCATGACATACATCAGCGAAATAGTCATGCAGATCCTCAACAAAATTTCTCTCCAGTAGTACCCTCGGTGTATCTTTTCTCAGCGATGATAACTTGTCAATTTTGTTCCACCAACTGCCTGATCCAAACGTACCTGCGTCCATGTTCCTCCTGTTCTGTATTATAATCTCTGCTATCATCTTGCTTACTTCCTCTGCTTGGTCGTTCTTTCCTCTAGCTACTAATTTATATTTTCTTTTTAGAAGACTTTTAACCAATGGTGTCAACCAAATTGGATCCCTCGTAGACATTTTAACTGTTCTTGTTGGAAGGCACGAATCGAGTAGAGAAATTATTGTTGTGTGAAGAATATTTGCTGCTTCATTAACATCATCCGAATCAAGTACCTTCGACCAGTTTTGTTGTAAAGCATTCTGTAGAGCTAACATACGATGGGTTCTTCTATCTCTAATCGTACACTTCACTCGAATTGGTTTCAGTTTAGTTCCTGGTGGCACAATGATACCGAGGTGGTCAGTTTTTATTTGCATTTGCAGCGGATATGGCTTTGTAAACAGATCGGCTCGATTTGTTAAACAATTATCTAATATAGCGTTATTTCTTGTTGGGAAATCCACCATGACATCCAAGCCTACATTTGTTACTAAGTTTTCGATCTTCAAATTATTGAAATCCCCTCCACACAATACAACACCATCAGGGTTAGTGTCTAAAAAATCGTCCATTTTCTCTGTTAAGTGGTTTAACAGATCCATCTCCTGATACTTTGTTTTTGGAGGGTTGTAAACACCACAAATTAGCATATTATGGTCCCCATGCAGGGAGTTTTACAACGACTGAAATGGATTCATATTTTTCCGATCGGTCAACACTTTCGATATGATTGTTACTCCTAATATAGACCGCTACCCCTCCGCCCTTTCATTTATCATTACCAAAGCAGTTTCGATCTCTTCTATGTAATACGTAGTTTGATATCGCTACAACCGAGTCTGGAATATCTGGTTTTAAGTGAGTTTCCGAAACAATGCAAATATCAACGTCTGTGGCAATCATATCCGCTGCGAGGGCAACCGGTGCTCGTACTCGATTTTTGGTTTTATTTAGGCCACATATATTTATCAGTAAACGTTTGGGCATCGGGTAGTTTATACAGTGATGATCAATTGTAGGATTTCTTGGGATTGGTATTAGATTTCGTTCCCTAATATGCATATGTTCATGCCTATAACGACTTTTCCAGTCACGGTTTATTATCACAGGAATGTTATAGCTCTTGTTGTTTACCTAGTCGTATTTCTTGCGAATATGCCTACGGCCGGCTCGTTTTCCTCTGAAACGAAACAATCCTGACTGTTTAATCTGGTTTAGAATTTGATTATTACATGCTGGGATGGTTTTTAGGTCCCATAACTCCCTTCTCGAGTATACACGGCGAAATGAACAACTTTCATGATTACATACCGATTTATGGGTTTGCAATATTGCCGATGTGTTGTTTGTACAATTCTTGTCTAAGGATGTTTCTGTTATATTTGCCGGGCCAGGATTGCTAGAGATATCCATGCAGATAGTTAGTTCAGCAGCAGGATGTGCATCTTGTAAACAGAGGCAGAGATGCCCATGGTTTGTCCATCTAACATGCGGCCTTTTCACCATTTTGTTCGAATTCATAGCGAAATTCATTGCCACAATATTTATTCGTCTGATCGTCTCTTCACTAAAATCATATGCAACTCGTTCACACCATATGTGATAGCTTCATTATGATTATTATCGAGTCTGTGCTTGTTATATTTATCAAATATTAAAAGTTTTATGCTACACATACACAAAAAGAGGAGCATAGCAAACACACGTCTGGCAGCCAAGTTTCACTCGAGAACATTTTCATCTTAACATATTACGCCGGGAATGTACAATTACACAACTCAACATAACACTTGCAGAACTAATATTGTTCGATGCTAGCTGAATTAATATAAACGAGTATGTTTGTGACATTCAGTATATATTTCATAATTTCCAGTCTTATAAATCCGTCTGCCCGTGTAGCTCAGTTGGTAGAGCGTCGATCTAGTAATTCCAAGGTCGCGGTTTCAAGAACCCAGCCGCGGCAGACTTATCTTTCTGCTTACGCTGGGTATGGAAATTATATAATACACACTCGAGAACTTTTTCATTTTTTCTTTCGATAGCATAAAAGCAACCTATATTTTCGAAATTACTCACCACCTGCATGACGATTCATATATACGGATGAAACAGATCGATCTAGACTATTGTAGTTTTTTGAGGTAAAACGGAAAACTATATTACGCAGTCTATCTATATGGTATTGAGCACTGTTTGTGTTTCGTAAACCAAAAACTTAAGCTATATTTGCACCAGGTATAACCGGTTGTGCACTCTTATCTACGTTATTCATTTTATTAACAAATTTGTAATAAAACGACAAGAGGTTCCTGATAGTTTACATGTATAAAAGTATGAAATAGAAGTTAGTTTTTAAAATCTGTCGTTAGCTCAGTTGGTAGAGCAAAGGACTGTAGTTATTACCAAATCAGTATTCCTTAGGTCACCGGTTCGACCCCGGTGCGGTAGAAAATTTTTTGCCTTCCAACCACGTAACAACGTTGCGTGTCCCAATCCCTCTCTTATTTTCAACTCGCAATTGAAATTCGTTTTAATTCTTTTAATGAATTTGATGGCTCTTAAAGGAGCCGTTTTGAGCGATAAGTTTCCAACCAGAAATGAAAAATCGCAACATATTTCAAAACCGAACTAAGCAGTTGCTAATCCCGGGTTGTCAACGCGTTGTTATGGTCAATATTTGCATGTTGTTCAATACTATTTAGCAAACCTCCTACATACATATATACTGTTAAGATGACCGAGTCAGATCATAAGAAAGCTTATCAAGAACACTTGTAGGAAAAAACTTTTAGAACAGTTGTAATATATTTTGCCATAAAAAATAAATATGTTTTTATCAAATATGTGGTAGTTATATACGTTGCTATGTGTTGCGAAGTCATTAGGAGGCGTGTAGATAATTAAGGGTTAGGCGAACAAAAATCTGCATGACTAAGTGTATCCCAATGGATAGATAGGGATTATTTATGACGCAGGTGTATGCCTTAAAATCGGGCGCGAGGCTTTGTGGGCAAAAATTTACACAAGAATTTAGATTTAAAACACATTTATTTATTTAAGTACTACAAAGTTAATAATTCTTGTCTGTATAAATATAATATTATTCACTTAAGAGTTTTGTTCCGTTTTTGTTTCTAACTTTAACCAATCCTTTGAGCCATCATTAATTTCTGTATTGTCCACGTTCTTTGCAGATTTTGTACTTGATTTTGTTCTCTTCCTGGAGGATTTTGGTTGACGAATGGTATATTCTTTATCCTGCTTTTATTCCACTTTGATTGCTTTTTACTGTTCCCAATTAATCTGTACAATTCTGTTAAAACATTTTCTAAGTCTAAAGCTGTTGGCTTAGCACGAATAAGATAAGGTCTGCCAAATGGTTTGCCAATCTTTTTAAAGCTCGCTTGCCGCAGATGGGACGATCTTTACACTTCCGAAGCATAATGTCAAATGATAAATGTCAACTGATTCCTAACATTAAATAGTTGTGGCGCCAAAGACCTTTTCGAAGGTTTGCCGGGACTTGGGAGAGTGTTAGAGAAATGGGTTAGGGGAAAATAGCTACCACACAGGATCGATCTTATTTTACTTTTATAAATCAAACACAAACAACCATTAAGAGTCAATGTCACTAGGATACCGTGTGTTTGTGAAAAGTCTTTTCAAAAGAAATTTTCTCTTGTCAATAGCGGCCTCTAACGCTTCCCTGTGGTCGAAATTATCATCATTGACAAAGACATCCCTGGTTTCCATAATCTTTTTTGTGTATTGGATCTCTTTTTAGTTGTCTTATCCATAGTAGACGTTCCAAATAAATATTCTGCAAATCTTTACGAAGTTTTGGTACGATAAGTAAATATGCCTTGTCTTTAGCTTCGTTTTCGTCAAAACCTTCTGCAGTGAAATTCTGCGTTAGTTCTTCGAATTCCGATAAACTTTGTTGGGTTGCTTCAGCTTTTAAAGGAGCCCATGGATCGCTTTCGTATTCATCACCTACTTCACTACTAGGACCATATACATTATCAGAATCACTCTCTGGCACAGAATCAGTTTCCACTTCGTTGTCAGTGTTATACGAATTCTCAACATCACTCTCTGATGTAGCACTATCAGAGTCTGCAACCGTTCTCATTCTTTTCATCTTTACACTGAAATCTGTAGTAGGTTTCTAACAGTACTGTATTTTCTTCGTATATTGTTAGGTTGAAATTAACAATTTATATATGAAACATTTTATGAAGTGGCGTTAATTTAAGAGACTTTTCTATGGCCTTTGTGGCCCGATTGGTGATTGGCTGGGACACTTCCCACCAAACCTCCCCACCAATAGGATTCTGGAGAATCGGGCCACAAGGTCATAGAAAAAGGCCCTTGGGGCCAATGCGAAACGTGGCTGGCCCCAATGGCCTTTTTTATGGCCTTGTGGCCCGATTGGCTGGGATATTTCCCACCAAGAGAGCTTTAGAGAATCGGGCCACAAAGCCATAAAAAAGACCCTTGGGGCCAATGCGAAAAGTGGCCCCAAGGGCCTTTTTTATGGCCTTGTGTCCCGATTCTCTAGAATCCTATTGGTGGGGAGGTTTGGTGGGAAGTGTCCCAGCCAATCACCAATCGGGCCACAAAGGCCATAGAGAAGTCTCTTAAATTAATGCCACTTCATAAAATGTAATGTTATTCTAAAAATTGATCATTCGCCAGTTGGTTGTGATTGGAGTTGTTTCAACCTAACAATGTACGAAGGAAATACAGTGCTGTTAGAAACCTACTACAGATTTCAGTGTAAAGATGAAAAGAATGAGAACGGTTGCAGACTCTGATAGTGCTACATCAGAGAGTGATGTTGAGAATTCGTATAACACTGACAACGAAGTGGAAACTGATTCTGTGTCAGAGAGTAATTTTGATAATGTAGATGATACTAGTAGTGAAGTAGGTGATGAATACGAAAGCGATCCATGGGTTCCTTTAAAAGCTGAAGCAACCCAACAAAGTTTATCGGAATTCGAAGAACTAACGCAGAATTTCACTGCAGAAGGTTTTGACAAAAACGAAGCTAAAGACAAGGCATATTTACTTATCGTACCAAAACTTCGTAAAGATTTGCAGAATATTTATTTGGAACGTCTACTATGGATAAGACAACTAAAGAGAGATCCAATGCACAAAAAGATTAAGGAAACCAGGGATGTCTTTGTCAATGATGATAATTTCGACCGCAGGGAAGCGTTAGAGGCCGCTATTGACAAGAGAAAATTTCTTTTGAAAAGATTTTTCAGAAACACACGGTATCCTAGTGACATTGACTCTTAATGGTTGTTTGTGTTTGATTTATAAAAGTAAAATAAGATCGATCCTGTGTGGTAGCTATTTTCCCCTAACCCATTTCTCTAACACTCTCCCAAGTCCCGGCAAACCTTCAAAAAGGCCTTTGGGGACACAACTATTTAATGTTAGGAATCAGTTGACATTTGTCATTTGACATTATGCCTCGGAAGTGTAAAGATTGTCCCATCTGCGGCAAGCGAGCTTTAAAAAGATTGGCAAACCATTTGGCAGACGTCCATGAACTTTCGTTCCAAGAAAGACAACCTTATCTTATTTGTGCTAAGCCAACAGCTTTAGACTTAGAAAACGTTTTAACAGAATTGTACAGATTAATTGGGAACAGTAAAAAGCATTCAAAGTGGAATAAACGCAGGATAAAAAATATACCCAAGTCAACCAAAATCCTCCAGGAAGAGAACAAAATCAAGTACAAAACCTGCAAAGAACGTGGACAATACAGAAATGAATGATGGCTCAAAGGATTGGTTAAAGTTAGAAACAAAAACGGAGCAAAACTCTTAAGTTAATAATATTATATTTATACAGACAAGAATTATTAACTTTGTAGTACTTAAAGAAATAAATGTGTTTTAAATCTAAATTATCTACACGCCTCCTAATGACTTCGCAACACATAGCAACGTATATAACTACCACATATTTGATAAAAACATATTTATTTTTTATGGCAAAATATATTACAACTGTTCTAAAAGTTTTTTCCTTCAAGTGATCTTGATAAGCTTTCTTATGATCTGACTCGGTCATCTAAACAGTATATATGTATGTAGGAGGTCTGCTAAATAATATTGAACAACCGGGGTTAGCAACTGCTCAGTTCGGTTTTGAAATATGTTGCGATTTTTTATTTCTGGTTGGAAACTTATCGCTCAAAACGGCTCCTTTAAGAGCCATCAAATTCATTAAAAGAATTAAAACGAATTTCAGTTGCGTGTTGAAAATAAGAGAGAGATTGGGACTCACAACGTTGCTACGTGGTTGTAAGGCAAAAAACTTTCTACCGCACCGGGGTCGAACCGGTGACCTAAGGAATACTGATTTGGTAATAACTACAGTCCTTTGCTCTACCAACTGAGCTATAAACGGCATATTTTAAAAACTAACTTCTATTTCATACCTTTATACATGCAAACTATCAGGAACCTCTTGTCGTTTTGTTACAAATTTGTTAGAAACTATTTGTGATGCTAATCGATCGCGTTGCCTGCCACATTTGGCCCAGGCCTGCCCGCGTTAATTGGTCGCGCTACCTGGCGTTATAGATTTTGCAAGCTCATTATAAAATCCACCAGAGTCTTAGCTGAACAAAATGACGTCATAGATTTTGCAAGCTCATTATAAATTCCGCCATATGGGGGGGGGGGGGGTATCACTGCTGGCTGATCAACAACTCAAAACCAAGTTGTTTCGCCTAAGCATTGTTTCGCCTACACGCATTCCGCGCATTCTTTCGATAGCATAAAAGCAACCGGGCTATATTTTCGAAATTACTCACCACCTGACGATTCTTATAAGGATGAAACAGACTGTTGTGGTTTTTTTGAGGTAAAACGAAAAACTATATTACGCTCTATCCCTATATGGTATTGAGTACTGTTTGTGTTTCGTAAACCAAAAACTTAAGCTATATAAATATATATATATATATATATATATATATATATATATATATATATATATATATATATATATATATATATATATATATATATATTTATTATATAAACATTAGTGTTATATAGAGTTTTTTGGCCACTGAGAAAAATCGTATTTAAACACACGTAAAAAATACGATATTTTTACGTGTGAAAATATCATTTGTTGTAAAACGCATTGCAACGGACGTTTTATTGTTTTTCACTGAATTTTGTTTATATGATAAACAGAAAAATACATGGATGCTTGGAAATACCAGATTTATTTCTCGTGTTTCTATTTATATAAAGCATAGTGCTTCATAGAGATTTCGAGCACTGATAAAAGTGATAATCTCATGCACATGTGAGATTATTTATGATAATCTCACATGTGAAAATTATCGCTTTTCATTTATCGCTTTTCTGTAAAAATTATCGCTTTTCAAAGACTGTCCTTTATATAATAAACAGAAAAATACATGGGTGCTTGGAAATACCAGATTTATTTCTCGTGGTGAACATGATATCTCACTCGTTCGCTGCGCTCACTCGTGAGATATCATGTTCAACACTCGAAATAAATCTGGTATTTCCGCGCACCCATGTATTATTCTCTCTATATAGGCTTACTATATAGGTCTATATAGCCCAGGTGATACCAAACACGACCTTTAAATGAAACTTTGCATAATATGTACCCTTCTTTTCTGACAGGAAATTTGCATCTATTGATTGAAATCGATTAAACATGTCTTTTATACGACGTATTTTTCGTCAGAGTAAAAGGGAAAGAAACGCAGCAAACCTGAGAACTTGGTCAAAAACTGAAGATTTGGAAACTATAAACTTCTTACAAGACATGAAGTATTTTGCACAACTGAGAAAAGATTTTCCTGATGTAACAATTGATGTTTTCGCGGAAAACTTAGTTAACAATGTCAGGATCCAAGAGCAACGTTGTCAGGACAAGGAGTTTGACGAAGTCATTGAAAAGTATCGTAAGGATTTGTCTAAACTTCAAAAACATTCGGTGGCAATGGGCTTGGGCGAAACAAATATCTGGGATATAATTGTGCGCAAGGAAGCTCAAAATTACATCCAGGACATTCTCGTTCGAGATAAAATAGAAGCAAAGGTATTATTACCCTGTTGGTTTTCAGATAACAAAATCAAAATCGTCGGGCAAATTCGAACGAACATAAGTCACTGCATTAAAATACAGTAAAAACACAAACGTTTATCTAATATGTTTAATGATTGGTGCATGTCATGATTCACTAGGAAACGATGTGTTCAGTGCAGTAGAAACGATATATTTAGCTCATACTTAGCACGAAAGTTTTTATCTAAACCGCTTTCTCTATATATCCTTACTCAATGTTCGCGTTTTCTTCTCGATAAACAGAGGATCGGCTGCGTTCGATCCCAAGCCGCGAGAAGTGTTAATGATAATAGTGTCAACAACAACAACAACAACAACAACAACAACAACAACAACAACAACAACAACAACAACAACAACAACAACAACAACAACAACAACAACAACAACAACAACAACAACAACAACAACAACTTATATAACTTAAACAAGACTAGCAAAACTTACATAGTTGAGTGAAATTTTCAAGCCGTTAGCCGCGTTGAATAATGTGATATAACAAAGCAGGAAAACTTTGTTGTAAAACTACAATTGCAACAACAACTTATATAACTTAAACAAGACTAGCAAAACTTACATAGTTGAGTGAAATTTTCAAGCCGTTAGCCGCGTTGAATAATGTGATATAACAAAGCAGGAAAACTTTGTTGTAAAACTACAATATTGTCTCAAACATTTTTATGTATATTATTAATACATAATAGGATGGTTTCTCGTAAGTTTTTCAAAGACCTCAGATAGCACTCGTCCTTCGAACTCTATTGAAAAACTCACTCGTGCGTGTTTTATCCAAATTGCACTCGAAACCATCCTATAATTCCTGTTACCTATACTACTACTACTACTATACTAATAATAATAGTAACATGTGCTCCATGTTTATTTAATATAGGTGACACCTAGTGAAGATGGCTCAAAATTTGTCCAAATTGTGGCTTTTAATGCAATGGACATAGATAGAGCAAAAGGAGTTGTTGCTCAGACATTTATACATGAAACTGTGTTAATTCCTCATGATATAAACCTCTCAACTAAAGCAGGGGAACTAAGAGAACTAGAACAATTCTGCTCCCAAATACAACGTGGTAAACCAATCAAAGTACAGGTTATCGTTGAAGGGTCACGGAGATTGGTTGAGTTGGTTGGTGTGGCCGATATCATGAATGAAACAAAATCTGCTGTTGAAAACGTTCTTCAAGATAAACGGATAAAAGTTGAGCATTTCCAAATGACGGTTTCAGACAACATTTGGGATTTTCTTCACCACCAATTTGGAAGTATGATCAAGCCAATTGAGAAACAATTAGATAATTGTTATGTTATCATTAACTTGGCCGAAAAGCCAAAAGTTCTTTTATTAGAAGGAACAACAGATGGTCTAAGAAAATGCAAGGAAACACTTCAACAACTGATCCAAACAATTGTTCAGAAAGATGAGATCATCACTTCACCTGATGTTCAAAGTTTGTTTGCAAGCGAAGTTGGAAAATATCAGTTAAAGTTAATCGAAAAAGATCTAGATGTTCTCATAAAAAAGAGTCAATTTATGGATCTACTTTTTCCGTCTGAGAATGCAACTGTTTCACAATCTCAAATGCACAGAAACGGTGGGGTGAAAATAACAATGAGAAATGGACGCATTGAGAACGAAAAGGTATAGGTTTACGTTTAAATATCAAATCCCTGTCAGACATACAGTGGTTGTTCCGTCAGGGTGACAACGACCTTTAGTCATTTTGGAAAGTCGGTTTTTTCCATTTATACTACTTGTATACTAGAAAAAATGATAGAAAAATGTCTCAGAAAAATAATGCATGCAGGAACTGCTTTTCTGCTGAGCAGATAAACTCATTCCTATTCCTTAATACTTGGTACGTCGAGTGGTACGTGGAATTACAGACTTACAGCAGGAATTGCATGTATAACTTTATGCTTGCAATAATGACAAGGATTAAGAGTAGATGTCGGTAGAATTTTAAACGATACGATTGATTAACTGTTTCTCATTTTCTCAAGGCTGACATCCTAGTGAACTCTGCTATACAAAATCTAAAAATCAACACTGCGTGTCTGGGAGCTCTCAAGAAACGAGGTGGCCGGGAATTTATTGAAAAGTGTGAACAACACACCAATATTCCACAAGGGGATATTGTATGCACCAGTGGGGGTAATTTGGCGTGTCAGTATGTCATCCATGCTGTGTGTAAAAACTGGAACAACGATGAGCCTGCGAAGAGCGAGGACGTATGTATAGTATTCTGTATTCTTCATATATCATGAAAAGATCTGATTCCACGAATCCGCCTTATGAAATGCCAGTCATGAGTAAAATTTACTAAAAACATTTTTAAAAAATTGGTACGCTAATGAGAAGAACTGTGTTCTGCTCACTGCGGAATTCTAAATGAAAACTTGAGACAATGGAATAAAATCACCCATTTGCAATGTCCATGCGATAATTATTCAAAAATATTTCATGGGCACAATTTTTCGTGAATTCAATAACTGTTTTATCACAATGATTAATTAATTGCCACAAACAGCAACGTCACAATAACAGCATAGAAACTTTAAAAATCTCATTAATTTCCCTAAAATTATGCCCGAAAAACATAAACAATCACAAAAGCACCGTTCGTTCATGGTTTTTTTATTGTTTTTATTCGACGTGTATTTAAAATTGCTGATTGCTATAAAATTACATATCGCTGGCTCAACTTACACGTAACTCAGTTATTTGTTAACAAACAGTTAACAGACTTACCGTATTTACTCGTTTGAGCTCCGCGGCGCTCTTTAAATTGTCATAGCTTCAGATGCGGCGCACATTTGGGGGCGGCGCTCTTTAAAACATCTTTTATTTGTGAATTATAAGAAGAACTTTTAACAATAAAATAAACAAAGTTTTGAATGTCTTTGTCACTAAATGTCCCCATTTTGACGGCGGAAAGTTTTTACACTGTTAGGTGCGGCGCTCATTCGGGGGCGGCGCTCAATCGGGGGCGGCGCTCAAACGAGTAAATACGGTATGTGTAGTTTGCGTGATTTCCATATTTAGTTGTAAGCCATTAGCCTATCGATCAGAAGACACGTAGTCACTACAATATATGATAATTATGATATTAATAGAGACCTTATAAGCAAGCGACGTTTTTGACAACAGGGATGTCACGCGTAGGCTACATAATTTAGCCGTTAATATGGCAGTATAACATATGACAGTTATATGGCAGTCGATGCAATTTCAAACTGCAACGGGAATGGCCGTGGCCATCTACAACGGCTAGATTTACTTCCGGTCGGCGTTCGTGGATCAAAAATGTCGATTGCTTACTAATTAAGCTCTATCCAGTCATGAATTAACTTCACGATTCGTAAAATGTATATTCATTTGTTCATAGTTTCTCAGACACCTCATGAAGAAGATTCTAGAGAAATGCATTGAACTGGGTGCATCTTCAGTTGCTATGCCAATGGTTGGAGCTGGAAAGCATGGCTATTCAAACGATCTTGTGTCGGAGATAATTTGCGACGAGGTAGCTCAAATGTTTACCGAGAAAGGAAGTGAATTTTCTTTAAATAATATTCGTGTGATTATCTTTGAAGAAAATGAGATACAGGGAACTAAGAGTTTTTCAATTGATTCACCCAATAAGATCATCCTACATTTTATTGGATTACAACAGCATGTTGATCAGTCTTTTGCCAAAGTGAAAATATTTGTGGATACGCTAAATCAGAATAAAAAAAAAAAGCAGGAAAAGGAGATGCATCGTAAGTTTTACAGATCATTATCACAAACAAACAAACGACAAACGTCAAATGACAAATGATAAACGACAAATGGCAAACGACAAACAACAAACAACTAGAAACAAGCAACAAACGACAAACAACAGGAAACAAACCCGACCAATGACAAACGGCAAGCAACACAAAACAAACAATAAAAGACAAGCGAGCTTTTCCCTTTGTTCAGTGTTGCATAAAATACGTACATGGTCGAGTATTAGGACGATAATTTATCATGCAGGTAAACATTAAACGTATTATTATTATTTAATATGTCTCTAGGGAGCAGTTCATCTGTAAGTATAAACCTTCCATCGTTTTGGGAACAACAGTTGAAAGAAAAGATTGTCCTTGTTGAGCTTGAGGAATCCTCAGATGAATACAAAGAAATCTTGAATCATTTTCACGAGAATTGGAATTATAAGAAAAATATAATGAAACCTTCCGTGAAAAAAATACAGAGAATTCAAAACCCTGATCTTTATTATGGTTATTGCGTAAAGAAAAAATCAATGGAAGGGAGAGAGAATGAGATGAGGCTATTTCATGGAACATCTACAGAGAACATTCCCCAGATAAATTGCCAAAACTTCTCCAGGAGTCACACAGGAGCCACTGGACAGACTAAACGTTAGTATTAAATTAACACTTTTGGAGGAAAGTCTTGACAAACGAAAATTTTGACACAATTAAATGAAAATGATAAAAAATTATTTCAGATACTGCATGAATGTCTTCATGTCATCCTACTGATCAGTTTCAAATTCCTTTTTTAAAATGATATAATCGAAGTTGCAAGTTACACGTTTATGAGTTTGGGAGTCTCCGAGTTCCCGTCCGAATCTGCTAGTCAATCTTATGTTACTTATATATATAAACTTACTATTTAAGTCTGTGAACGCAACATACAGGCGTCTCTATTTACATTTCAGAGCACCCTGCATTTTCAGAACGCTAATAGAATCGATTTTAAACCGAAAATGGTCACATGGCAGTCAGAACAGTCATATGACCATTTTCGGTTCGATTCTAGTAGTGTTCTGAATAGTAACTGAGCCTTATAGATTGTTAATTTTTTTAACAGGTTCGAATCCTTCAGCTAGTCAGAAACATGGCCAAGGAGTGTACTTCGCCAAAGAGACGTCGTATGCTAGCCGTTTTTGTAAAGATGACGATAACGAAAAGGCTGACGTTAGCTCTAAGGATCTCCAAATGTATGTCGTCAAAGTGCTAGTTGGAGAGTTTACCATTGGAACTCGGGAAATGAAAACACCTCCATTGAAAAATGATCCTGCCAATCCTGGATTACCGTTTGATTCTTTAGTAGATAACTTGAGTAATCCAACAATCTTTGTCATTTTTAATGATAACCAATGTTACCCGGAATATTTAATTACTTTTACTAGACTTAGTACCGTAGTATAATCTCGAACTGTCTGTGCCAGTGTAGGTACCGACGATAACAAGACAGTCGCGGATTGGTACAAGTGAGAACTTTGACGTTTCGAGCGAAGACTCTTCGTTGGGAATTAGTAGCGTGGGTAAATTGTTAAACACGTCCGAATTTATCAATATGATAAATTCGCGGCACATTTTGAAATTATCAATAGAATAAATCATAAAACCACAAGCATTAGACAGGACTTGAGTTTTTCAGTTATAAATGTAATGGCACTAAAAGGGAGGCTGTTCGCGTTGGGGTGGGGAGATCTCCAAAAAAAGCCCAGAGAGGTAAAAAAAGTTAACAAAAATAAAAAAAGTTCAAAAAAGTTAGATTTTCAAAAAATTTTTAAAAAAGTTAGGGTTGGGGTTGGGGTTGGGTTAGGGGTTAGTGTTAGTGGTTAAGTGTCGCGAATTTATTATTGATAAATTCGGACGTGTTTAGCAATTTACTCATTTAGTTTATTCAAAGGTGGAACTCATGCTGCGAAAATTACATGATATTGTATACTAGTGAATTTAAAAGAATCACGCGACAAAAAGTAAACCAATTAATTAGATGACATCTTTCGCATAATCCTATTCCACATGCGCTAATATTCTACTATAGTGGGAACCTCTTTAATTATGTAAATTCAAAACGTGTACATTAATTTTCAATGAAGTATTAAATTCCCACACAAGTTTTTTTTCTTTCTTTATTTTTACTGATTGGTTAATATTTATAAATATGTACAAATACATTTGAAAATAACCAATCGGCAAAGGCGCGAACGGGACTGAAGTACCCATGCGAGGCGCCTTCCCGTTGAAATATAACGTTAAAATAACATACGTCAACATAAGACTAAATAGTAAATTATACTGTATGTAAAGCCAATTCTCAATGGCAAGAACAGTCACGAGACAGTGTCCATGTGCACGGGAAGTCTATGTCAAAGCATGCATTGAATAAAGTCAGGTATGTTTGCTTGAGTAATTGTTTAAATGATGAGACGTTGGAAAAGCCATGCACAGGAGCTGTTTTGCAAATACTGTTCCACAGTTCGGACAATCCGGTTGTAAAAGGATGCCTGAAAAGCGTTTGTCATACAACGTGGAGCTTTCATAACTAAAGGAATCTGGCTGTGTCTGGTGTGGCCATGGTCTATAAATGCAATATGTTTATTCATTTTATTGACGTTCACGTCGATGTACCCATATAGGGCCTTGTAGAAAAAGGTTAGGTCTTTGATTTCTCTGTCGTAGCATAAAGGCAATAAGTGGAGCAACTGCAGTCTCTGGTGGTCTCAGTCTCGTCGGGGCTTAACTCGAATGCTTACTGCCCTGGGTACGAGGTTGACTGAATCGTTAATTGACTTCGAGTTAAGCCCCCGGCGAAAAAGGGCGTGGCAGGGGCTTAATTCGAAAAGAGCTTAACTCGGAGGGCTTAACTCGAAAAATACCTACCCCAGAAAATAGGGGCTTAACTCGAGCAAAGACAAACATTTTGTTCTTCGAGTTAAGCCCAACGTTTGAAAGATGTAAACGAGTTACGTAAAATAAACAATATTCGTTATTTTTAGTATATAATGTTAATTCAATAACGATTAATCAACATAAATGTTTTATTTGCGCCAGAAACGATTGGAACGCGTCGTTAACAATTTACATGGTGGGAAATAAATATTTTTCAAACATAACAAGTATTAGAGCTTATATATATATTGAGGATATTACAACGGCGGCGCGGATATCAAAATCTAAGTTAGTCCATTATGAATGCAATGATCTTTATTTCATTGCGATAGCTTTTATAGCTTTTAAGTTACATGAAATTCAGAAATTAAACGAGACTTACCTAAGTTGAAGTTTGATTTGGATTCTGTGAGTTATTGGTCGGGAGCGAAGGAGTCATATAACAACATAACAGTTTTATAAGTTAACATTTTAAGATCCTGTTCCTCCGGCTGACCCAGACCAGCTAAATAATCCAACATAACATTAACATCCCACGTTTCAGAATAACGGGGTAATGAAGGTCTTGTCTCAAAAACCCCTTTCATAAAACGAGTTACTAGTGGCTGGGTTCCATATGTCTGATTGTTTGGGAGTGTGACAACAGTTGATAAGGCACTTCGGGCCGTATTTAACGCACTATAACCAATTCCTTCATCGTAGAGCACAGCTAAAAAGTTCACTCCTTCTTCCACAGTTGCTGGAAAGGAATCCAGTTCCCTTGAACGACAGTACCGACGCCATTTGTTGAGGTATGGTATATACTGTCTTTGTGTGCTTTTCCTCCACGAGGACAAGATGATAGACAAAGCCCCCTCTGAAAGTCCTTTATTTTCAAAGGATCCCCTGAAATGTGGCACATCAGTAACGTTAACTTGGGGTACAGAGGATGGATCAGGTCTGGTTTGCTGGGCATGTATATAGTGTTCTCCTTGTTGGGGAGAATTACTGGAACCTGAATTACCATCCGCATTAGGTATGGCCACCAGGGCTGTGCAGGCCATTTTGGAACAACAAGTAACCCTGTGCTCTCCTCTTCTCGAATTTTCTGTAGTACTAAAGGGATTATGCTAAATGGAGGAAAGGCATAAAATAAATATGGTTTCCAACAAATTGTAAATGCATTAACAGCTTGAGCTTCAGGGTCTGGTTGGTATGCAATAAAAGGTTTAACTTTATAATTAAGTCGAGAAGCAAATAGGTCAATAACGGGAGTCATATTCAACAGTTGGATACCCTGTTGATAGATTACTCGATCTAAAGCCCATTCAGTTTCTTTCAAGGGCTTTCTAGATTCTGCATCTGCTGCCTCATTCTCAAGGCCTGGTAATGTGCTGTAGTTAGAAAGATATCATGCTGAATACACCAATCCCAAATCTCGCGAACTAAAGTGTTGCGTTTGCGAGAATGACTGGTACCCAGTTTACCTATGTCTGCTACAGCAGTCATGTTATCTATCCTAACACACACATGTTTTCCCGACAGTTTTGTTTGGAATACTTTAAGGGCAAAGAAAACGGCAAGCGTTTCCAAATAATTTATGTGGTGACTGGCTTCAAGTGCAGTCCAATGACCCCCACTTTTTTGTTCACCTAAAACCCCACCCCAACCTTGACTGGATGCATCAGTGAATAAAGTAGCATCTGGTTGGTTGAGGGCAATAGGTTTAAATAAACTGTCAGCTGAATTAATCCACCAGTGTAAATCAGCACATGATGTTTTGGACAACTTCATAGGTCTATCAAAATTTCCTTGATTTTGTTTGAGTGCCTCAGTTTTATCCATATCCAGATCTCTGAAGTGCAAAGGGCCAAATTGGGCAGCAGGAAAATTAGAGATTAATAATCCTAACACTGATGCAACCTGGCGAATACTGGGTGATGGACTGTGTAACAACTCTAAGCATGATGCCTGTATCTTTTTTATCTTTTCTGCAGTTGGAAAACCTTCATTACAGTTGAGTTGATCTTAAAACCAAGGATGGTTACTACTTGGTTTGGTATAAATGATGATTTATCAGGGTGTATAATGAACCCCAAAGAATCAAGCAGCCTAGTTGTGTCTAAAACATTGTTGGCACAGTCATCATAATCGTCACCTTGTAAATAAGAATCATCTATATGGCTGACCGATATATGCCCCAGCTGCCGCAAGTGGGAATTAACTGGCTTTAACAGCTTTGTAAATTTCCTGGGGCAAAATGCCAGGCCATTTGGGAAGCAAACAAATTTATATAGTTGTCCCTCCCATAAAAATTTTAAATATTTTTGATGCTCTGCTGCTATTGGCACTGAGTAGTAGGCATCCTTTAGGTCTATACTAGCCATAAAACAGTTGGGCTTTACCATGTTTACAATAGAAGAGAAGGATTCCATTTTAAAATGGCGATATTCTATAAATTGGTTTAAACCTTTAAGGTTTAAAATCATTCTTGATGACCCATCCTTTTTTGGGGTCGTAAAGATTGGTGAGATATACTCTCCCTTCTCATGTTCACAAGGTACTATAGCACCCTTTTCTAGCAGGTTTTGTATCTCTACCTCACACGTATGTGTTTGGTCAGAATCCCAGCAGGCATTGACAATTGATTTATCCCGCGGAACGTACAACTGATAGGGTTGTTTCGAAAATTCAAGCTTCTGTCCGGATATCATGTGTAAATTGACCTCATCATCTGAGGTTATACTCTCCCATTCATTATAAAATAGACTGAGTCTACCTGCCTTAAAGCAAGCAACTTTACTTTGGAAATATGATACAAGTGTATTAACAGTTAAAACGTTTACCTGCGAAATATTGGGAAAATTTGTTGTCGTCTCAGTCACTGCCACTGGTAGCTCTTTTTCTTGCCCGCTGGGAACTTTGGTTTGTTCTGCGGGTAGGGGCGATAATTGTTGCCCCGATTTTGCCATAAAAAAGGCTTACCGTTGGTGTGACTGCTGTGTGCAAATGGTTTCCCTTTCAAGCGGTTTTTTGTACCTTCAAAGGGGCGCCGCGTGTTGGGATTAAATTTCGAACTACTTGTAGTAGACTGACTAATCATATTTGCGGCGCGCCTTGATACTGGCCATTTGAGCCTGTAAGTCGTCGCCAAATAAGAGCTCCGTTATGGGAGTTTGAGGCGAACACAAAGAAACATATTCTTTGTTTAAATTCGGCTTGATCAACTCACGGCGGCGGTTCAATAATTCCATATGAATATGGGCAAGCATTGCCAAGGCATCGGTGTTATACGTCACCAGCTTGCCAGGTTGTTGTTTATGTTCAGCGTCTGAACTTGATTGTGTAGCTCGCATTGACTGATTGACAGCAGAGCTTCGGTTGATTGCGTTAAAGCAACCCCAACCTTGACAAGCGTTTTCTGAAAATTCATTAATTTTAGGTCTGAACCACGAACCGTATGGTTTAGTGTTGACCAAATCTCAATGAGGATTTACCCTCGGCACAGTGAGCTTCTCACAATTTTTTGGCCGATCATATTTATCCATTTTATCTTTTAATTTAGGCTCTTCTAATTTTGACGACCAACGTTGGTTAACGATTTCTGCCAGCGTCTGGCTAACATCGTCGCTTGTTTGTGTTTCCTCGGCATAATCTTGAGCGATTTTGCTCAGTAATTCATCCTCAGCTGCTGAGGTGTTTGGGGTTTTGGGCGCTTCGCTGTCTTTTGTGCCGTCGGTTAATCTTTCTGAATCAGAAAACCCCCTTTCTGCTGCAGAAAGGTTATTCTCATCTTCCAGATTGTCAGGCCTCGTCACTACACGACGTTTCTTAGCTGCTGGTCTTCCATGGGCAGCTTCTACCCGGGAAAGACGCGTAAGAAACGAATCCATTTTGTCGTTCATATCAGCCATCATGGCCATGAGGCGCTCTTGTCCGGCTTCCATTTCTGGATTTTCCTCGACATTTTCATCGCCTTCAGCAAGTAGATCTTCTTCCTGATCTGCAGAAGTGATTTCCTGTTCTAGTTGGTTGTTCTCTTCATCCATAATTCAACGTTCTTGCAGTAATAAATGTAAAATATTTCTCTGGTTTTTCTTCGTAACTGACCTTGCAAGGGTTCTCGCACAACTGATTTTCCGGTTCGCGCGCTTTCTCATATTACGTCATATGACTCCGTAGCGACCAAGACCAATGACGAAACAGAATCAAATAGAGTCCGGTGTTTTTTGGGACACCGGTATAAAATTTGATATTTTAAGATTGACCTTTACGGCAGAAAAGGTCAATCTTTATTCCTTTAGGTATTATAGCTAAAAGTAGCTAATTCATAGTCCAATTTTTATGCACAAGTTGCTCTAACTTCGAACAGCGTACTATTCGAAGTGCAATCATGCGTAACATTGGCTATAAAACAAGGGGATCTCAATAGTTCAGGGTAAGTTTGTTAAACGCTCTGCCCCATGCAGTAAGTAGGTCAGTCATGGTTGGAAATCCAGTCGTCTAGGACACGACGAAGTCGCCGAAAACAACGTCAAGCAGAAGCCGTGCGCCGCGAAACAAAACGAAGCCGACGAGTATTTGGTAATGTATTTGTTCAATGCCCAATTCAGTAATTCGCAATCTTGTTGTTCGTCGGTTGGTGCTGAACAATTTGGTACTTTTTGTACTGGCTTCGTAAGGGACCGCTCATTATTTATTGTACAGGGGGGACTGAGGAGAAGCTCTACACTACTACAGTTACAATATTTTTTCGTTGCCCCCCTCTTAAGACAAGTAGAATTTTCAAAGCCCCCTCCAACAGGAAAAACAAGAACATAAATTTTGGTGCCCCCCCTGACTCTAGCTCTTTATTTAGAGAAACAAAAATAGATAATGGGGACTAATAGACAATTCCCATTATAGACTAATTTTTATCTTAGCAAAAAAATTATATTCCCGGAAAGAGCATACTAAAATTAGTAAAATTGAAAATTTTGGTTATGAAATGTTGTAAAATGTGGAAAATATAGCCTTCCAAAGTTTGCAAATTTTGTATACTTTTGTATTGCGTGCGGCCGGTAGCAATTTCCGCATGCAATACAAAAGTATACCAAATTTGCAAACTTTGCAAGGCTATATTTTCCATATTTTAGAACATTTCGCAACCAAACTTTGCAATTTTACTCATTTTAGTATGCTCTTTCTAGCTGTGGTGATTTATTTTGCCTAATTTTAAAATTAGTCTATAATGGGAATTGTCTATTTGCATGAACATCAGAGACTATTTATTTTTTTTATCTTTTTTATTTATTTGGCTTCCATTTATGATATTCATATTAAAGATCTATAAACATTGTTATTTGTTGTTAAGTTGTTTTTAAAATTACTAATGTTTTTTCAAACTAGTAAATCTTTTCAAAGCCCCCTTCTTTCGTCTCTCTGTATTTTTTCAAAGCCCCCCCCCCCTTTCAGGTTTAAAAAATTTAAATACCCTAAAGTCTGTATACGTATTCTGTTCGAAACGAATATGTTGAATATAACTTAGTCTTAGGGCCTGTTCATATGGGCAAAAGTTATACCGGTTAGCGAGAAAACTTTTCGACAAGTTTACAAGCGAGATCTCGCCTTGGCTGCCCCCCTTGCCTTTTGCTAGGGGGGGCTGGGGGGGCAGAAGTGCCCTTTTAGTTGTAAAATAATACGTGATAAATCACATTTCCAACGATGCTTTTTGCAGGAAAATCACGAGATTCAGGTAATTTATAGTTTATATTTATAAAAATTTTGGGAAATTTTTGTAATTTAGAAAAATATTTTGAAGAAATGGCGAAAATTTAAGATATCCGGAAAAATTTTTGGCTTCACGGAAAATTTTTGTATGTCCGGAAAAAAATTTTGACCCCTAAAATGGTACACTGACCGAAATTTTTTTGGCGACGGGGGGGGGGGAAGTCGCCAAAAAATTTTGCAGTGAAAAAAAAATTTCCAGTAAAGGTGCCCTTGGTGTGCGTCCGCCCCCCTTTGCCCTATTATCGTTCCGGCGTCCCTGCCTATGACTAGGCGTGCTATCAGTTATTCAGTCATGCGGTTCATGTTTTATAAAAGCGATTCAATTGTATTGGCCGCCAATATTTAATAGAGGCATTCGCTTATAATCTTAATAGCCATGTATCACAGTCTCCACACATTCCAATTTATTATTAAAACGGTACACGTGCACTCTGAGGCACTTCGTTTGTTAACTCGCTGGTAGCTGGGAAGTAAAAAAATTTAGATGTTTCATTCGGATTATAAATACAATTTGATATACCTAAGCGTTTTCACCTCCCACCTTGTATTACTTCTCTGCCCCTCATAGAGCGAGAGGCATGCAAAATACGTAAACAGTGACTTAATAGTGGCCGAGAGGTGGAAATTTATTCGTGTAATGATCGTGATAGTGGCTCACAAGTACAATTTAACTGTACAATCATGTCTTGGTGGTGGCTGAGAAGTACAAATACAATGTGAAACAATTCCTCGCAGAGATAGAGAATTCCAATTTCAATGTTAAAGTTAAATATGAAACGATGCCTCGGTCGTGCCCAAGAAGCCTACGTTTAATGTCAAATGATTCCTCGGTAGGGGCCGAGAAGCACAATTTTATGCAAACCATGCCTCGGTAGTGGCCGAGAAGCCTCAGTTAAATATGAAATGATGCCTCGGGGTCGTGGTCGAGAAGCCTAAGTTTAATGTCAAATGATTCCTCGGTAGGGGCCGAGAAGCACAATTTTATGCAAACCATGCATATTAAATCAAATTGCCGGCTTTAAATCAAATTCCTCGGTAGTGCCTGAGCTGTTATGTTTCGTTTCTTTCAACTTACACTTATTTGGTAGTGGCCAAGTATTTTCACGGCTCACATAACTCGGTAGAGGCCGAGAAGTCATGCGTTATGAATCAAAGGACTCAGTGTGAGAAGTTGTCTTGCATAGTTAGACGATTCCGCATGTTGCTTATACCGTGACTTGATTTCATATCCTTCCTATGTTTCATTACGATCAGTTTTTCACCTTATACCTTCGCCCAACCATTGTAGTTGGAACCGGGTGCGGGCGTCTAATGCCTTTTATGCCTCTAGGGGCTGCCTGGGACCGACAATGGGGTAGGCGATCCCTACGGATGTCGTGATATCCTTTCCAGTCGTACCTACAGTATGTCGACCTGCGTACAGCCACTCGACACTGAATGCTCAATGACAATGGTTTAATTACGTGGAGCTAGGGTTCGCCTACCCGTATTGTCGATCCAGAGCATACGATCTTTATAACGTCTAACGTAACCAGAGCATATGATCTTTATAACGTCTAACGTAACGAATAGTTACGAATTGGACAGAATTGCTGTTTCTAAGCCAAAAGCGGACAGGTTTTAATGTGTGTCAGTTTACGTTCAAACATGATGCTCTATCGATCGTTAAGTGGCTGGGTCAATGGACATAGGCCAATGGACATATAGGCCAATGGACATATCATTTTCTGGGTCAATGGACCTATAATTTTTAGCAGTTCTCACATTTTGACTATAATTGCAACCATATATGTCTCTCTAGTTGTGTCGCATTGTGCTAACTTTTCACAGTTCACTGTGAAAATTAAAGGAATTTTATTTACGAACCAAGTAATTTATTTCGCGAAACGACACACATATCGTGCCGTGTAATGGTATTCCATCATCTTATTCGTATTTATAAGCTTGTTCGTTTAGTTTATTATTATGCAACATTTGAATCGCAGATCACGATTATGATTCCACCCTGTTCCTATCCGATATCCCTCAAATAGATCCTCCATGTTGAACTTGTTTCTTTGTTTTTGTTATCCAGAAAGGAAAGATGGAGTGCATACTCGACATTCGATATCCGCATGCATTCTAATGTATATCTATAGAGGCTTGCATGGTATTGTCTTTGTCAAAATGTCATAATGTTTTGCATTTTCTTTCACTTATTTGCCCACCGATGATTGCTTAGTTGCGGGGAAAAGCAGTTATGGGATATGGGGTAAGTTTTGGGTGAGTTTTGGGAATAAGTTTCGGGTAATGTTAGGATGAAGGGTAGGATAGGGCTAACGTTACCCAGTTGGGAATGTAGGAGATCTAACCCGGCGCCAGGGGTCGCATTTCCCAAAACTATCTACCTGTAAGCCAATGGGAGCATGAGGGCAGTTAGAATAGATTACTATTCGAAGTGCAATCATGCGTAACATTAGCTATAAAACAAGGGGATCTCAATAGTTCAGGGTCAGTTTGTTAAACGCAGCGCCCGTGTGTGTTAGTCGGAAAGACATAGCTGTGCATGTGTGTATATATATAGGTAGGAAGCAGCAATATTGCAGTGTCACAGATTCTATTTTAGCGCGTTTCCCCACTGGTCCCCTCCCCAAGGAACGTTTACTCCCTCGCTCCTCGGCTTACAGGCTCGCATTTGCCAAAACTATCTACCTGTAAGCCAATGGGAGCATGAGGGCAGTTAAAATAGATAATATCATGATTGCGGGTATTCCCTTTGTTCTCGCAGGGCAATTAATAACTAATACACCTCATTATATTCATTTTTTCTAATCCTACCCGCTTTTACGTCATGTCAGGTAGAATTAGTTCTAATCCTACCCGAAACGACGTCAAAGCGGGTACGATTAGAAAAAATGAATATATTTGAAATCGCCAAAACTAAACAAAGACATGGAAAACAATTATACCATTTAATTTATACCATTATTTATTGTTAATTGGTTTTTAATGGCCCTGCGAGAATAACGGGAATACCCGCAATCATGATATTATAAGGTAATAGCATAAAAAGAAGCGAATTAGCTATTGAAACGTCCTGCCCGATGAGGGTCGTTTAGTAAAATTCCCTTGGGCGCCGCTCGATTCGGATCATTTAGTAAAATTCCCTCGGGCCTTCGGCCCTCGGGAATTTTACTAAATGACCCTCATAATTTATTCCAGAGAATAAATTATATTCAAATTTAGGACGGCTCTCAAATTTCACTCGAAGTCTTCGCCTGTTATTTGTACTTTAAAGGGGAAGATACGACGAAGGTTAAGGTATGTTCTATCATTTTGATGTGAAATGTTGATATTTTAGCGAGTTAAAGTGGTTAAAACTACTTGTCGAAGTTGACAACCGCAAGTCACTTCACGTTCGATGTTCGTTTTGTTATGGCATATTACCGAGCATATTACTGAATTATACCTTACGTTTCGTGAAGTTTAGTTTAAATTAGTAGAGAGAAGAGTGCATTAAGTATTTAGGGTATTTTGGAGCTAAATGTGTTTTAAAATTTGTCATTTTAGCGAAAACAAGAAATGTTGAAGTTGTCCAGAATGTCGTCCCGGCCATGTGCTTGCTGCGAAGAGACTCGGACATCGGACATTGTAGTGAATGGTTGACAATGTGTGTCGCTGGCAAACCTACAACTCCCACTGTACTAGGCAGTCAAGTATTTTTAACCTGCACATTTTTGTTTTTATTTCCCCAAATTTATTTTATGTTCATAAATATCATGAGTCATGCATGACTTTAAAGCTGGAAGGAGTTGAGATTCCCCACTCAACTGCATGCCTTCTGAACATTAGGCCACATAAAAAATAGTTGGTTAGCGTCCTTAGCTTTTGCCAAAAAGTGGGTGGGTGGGCGGTTTTAAAATTTTTACTAATTTTTTAACGCCTTGGTTTTAGGCCCGAAACTGGATTTTCATGCGCAGCACAGATATTTTTTATATATTTCAAAATATGATTCATACCGTCATTTTTGCACGCAATTTTGCCACTTATTAACACAATTGACTACAGTCAACAGAAATACTACCTATATTAGAACCTGTTGATCAATAAAAGTTGGGTTTTTTAAAAATAAAAAATAAAAAAAAATCCTGAGCGGGGCCTTTTTTGTGGGCGGGCGAAGATGCTAACCAACTATTTTTTTATGTGGCCTTAGACTCCATTTTACATGCTACCATTTCACCAGTAAGAAATTTTTTGAAAATTTTGAGATTTGAAAGCTGTTTGCATGGGCAGTGCCATTTCAGTTTTATTATTTTTCCAAGGTCTCTGTGAGACTTCCAATCATTCAGCATGAACAAAAGCAATACATGTAAAAAGAAAGGCGCCACTTTTTGGGTGTACTGTTTTTCTGTGTTGAATGGCTGGAAGTGCTGCAGGTATCATGGGATATCTAATAAAGTTGTGATGTTATTTCGGTGCTGTTTCTATAAAGGGCAGCTTGCTATGGCTATATGCCTTAGCCTAAAAAAAATTCAATTATTTTTCAAATAAAACATTTTGGGT